ATTTATATTTGTGTACAAACTGTGTTTTTAGGGTTATTAACAAAGTGCGTGTACTCAGACCAGTAATATTTGGGGTCACAAGTTTTTGCCATGGATATTTTGTGGGTCAGAAGACAAAAAGTTTGGGAACCACGGCTCTAGATAGCTGGAATTTATATGTGTGTGCAAGCTGTTCAGATTGTCAAAAAGCCTGTGTTTGTAGGGTTATTAATGGAGTTCGTGTACTCCGACCAGTAATATTTGGGGTCACAAGTTTTTTCCATGGATATTTTGTGGGTCAGAGGATAAAAAGTTTGGGAACCTCTGCTTTAAGCAACAGTTCCACATTAAACTAAGCTGATGCTTGGTATACATCTTACTTAATCACTTACTGGTTCCTGAAATTTTCAGCTTATGACCCACAATGGGTTCCTGTCCCCAACTTTGGGAACTGATGGGTTTACATCAAACCATTTATCATGTGTTGTGTGTCCGGTCAAAGTCCAAACCTACTGTAAGACTAGAAAATTTCTGTTTACACTATTGAAACTGATTCATCCAGTCTGAATGCATTTTGAGCTATTTTACAAGCAAGTATGAGCAAAAATGTCAGTCTTTAGCTGTGCAAAGCTGACAGAGATATACCCACAAAAGATTCGTAGCTGAATCTGCAGCCATGGGTGGTTTGACAAAGCGTGACCACTTGGCTTATAAATAATGCAATCTGATTTTTCTGTGAACATTTTTAAGCTTCTTTTACAGTCTTTTTTCCCATTACTGTGTATTTTCTTTTGAATTTGAGTATTTACCCATTTTGCTACAGATGTTAACTTTTTTGCATCTCTTTCTTGAGTGATGCGAGTATCTTCCTGTTTTGTTTACTATAAATTTGCATCCATGTTTTTTTAGTAAATGCCAATGGCCAGAAGGTGAAAAATAATCATCCTTCTCTTGTCCACTGTAAACAAGTAGACCGGTCACGTGTCATGACTTGCATACTTGAAATAAAGGTTTGTTCTTTAGGCGTACAGTGAAATTTGGTTACTATCTTTTAAAGTGGTGATGCACTCAGGAACTGTGCAGATAATTCAATAGGCTGCTGTAGTCAAGAGAAAACTGAAGCAGGACTAAAAGCTGTTTGTTCCTTTTAAATTAGGGCTGGATAAACATATATCAGGATATAAGCGTTTCATATCACTCAATATTGATGATTATTGATTTGTTTTTGTTTCACCTATTTGACATGAGAACCAGGAAAAAAAAGGGTGGTTAGTGCTGCCAAACTGGTGATGTGACCTAAACGCTAATCCATAATTTCCTCTTGAGCTGTTTCCTCATTTTCTCCTTTCACTTGGCGTCATTCTCTTTTTAATCTGAAGCAGTTATGAGGTGTGGTGGTGAAACAAGAAACTGCTACATGTTAACTCAACAGGTTGTTGCTAGCTTTCCACAGAGTGAGTTGGCTGATGCCACCAACGTTGCTCAGCTGAGCCATGAGAGGTTGAGCGGCTAAAGCCTTTCCATTGCCTACATCCCCCAGAATGCTGTGCAGTTCAGGATTAGAGTTCAGTGAAATGTTCTGAATCATCTGTTTGTCCATTAGCAACTCCTCTTACACCATTTTTAAAAATACTTAATAAAAACCAGTATGAAAACCGTACTTATGGTTGGCATGTTGCACTGCCCCCTTCCTAACTAGAGCTGTGGCCTTTTGCTATTATAATGTCTGATTTGTTAAAGGATAAAAACTATTGCTGAAAAACAAGTGCATATAAACATTTTTACAAGAAATTACCAATAAATCATTCAATAAACAATAAATGAATGAATATGTCATTCTTTAATCTTTGTATATATATTTTTAAATACAGTTAAATTTGGCTGTTTTTGATTTAGTGCTTTTGAGCTGAGAGCAAATCTGGACATTTCTCTAAATAAATTTTGAGAACCAGTGCTCTGAATTAAATCTTGGCCTGGATGAATAATAATAATAATAATAATAATAATAATAATAATAATAATAATAATTTATATATTTTTTATAAGCTGTTTCAAGTCCTTTTAATAACAGAGCATCTAGAAAGCAGTTTTACATCAACTCTATAAAGTCTTTTAATCATTAATTGGTCCTTTTTAATTAGGAGGTTTCCTTCATGCTAAACGTCTATATTTGGGGTTGAGGAGCTCTGGTGTTTTATGTGGAGTCAGTGTTATCTTAGGCTGAAGTATATATGTGGTGAGAGAACATGTACAGTGGTTTGCAAAAATATTCATACCCCTTGAACTTTTCCATATTTTGTCACATTACAACCACAAACATAAATATATTTCACTGGAATTTAATGTGAAAGACCAACACAAAGTGGTATACAATTGTGAAGTGGAAGCAAAATTTTACATGAATCAAAACATTTTTTACAAATAAAAAACTGAAAAGTGCGATGTGCAAAATTATTCAGCCCCCCTGAGTCAATACTTTGTGGAGCCACCTTTTGCTGCAATTACAGCTGCAAGTCTTTTAGGGTATGTCTCCACCAGCTTTGCACATCTAGTGACTGCAATTCTTGCCCATTCCTCCTTGCAAAACAGCTCAAGCTCAGTCAGATTGGATGGAGAGCGTTTGTGAACAGCAGTTTTGAGATCTTGCCACAAATTCTCAATTGGGTTTAGGTCTGGACTTTGACTGGGCCATTCTAACACATGAATATTCTTTTTTTTAAACCACTCCATTGTAGCTTTGGCTTTATGTTTAGGGTCGTTGTCCTGCTGGAAGGTGAACCTCCGCCCCAGTCTCAAATCTTTTGCTGACTCCAACAGGTTTTCTTCCAAGATTGCCCTGTATTTGGCTCCATCCATCTTCCCATCAACTTTGACCAACTTCCCGGTCCCTGCTGAAGAGAAGCACCCCCAGAGCATGATGCTGCCACCACCATATTTGACAGTGGGGATGGTGTTTTCAGAGTGATGTGCAGTGTTCTTTCTCCGCCACACATAGCGTTTTGCATTGTGGCCAAAAAGTTCAATTTTGGTCTCGTCTGACCAAAGCACCTTCTTCCACATGTTTGCTGTGTCCTCAACATGGCTTCTGGCAAACTGCAAACGGGACTTCTTATGGTTTTCTTTTAACAATGGCTTTCTCCTTGCCACTCTTCCATAAAGATCACATTTGTGTAGTGCACRACTAATTGTTGTCCTGTGGACAGTTTCCCCCACCTGAGCTGTGGCTCTCTGCATTTCATCCAGAGTCACCATGGGCCTCTTGGCTGCCTCTCTGATCAGTGATCTCCTTGTTCGGCCTGTAAGTTTAGGTGGACGGCCTTGTCTTGGCAGGTTTACTGTGGTGCCATACTCTTTCCATTTCCGGATGATGGATTGAACACTGCTCCGTGAGATGTTCAAAGCTTGGGAAATCTTTTTATAACCTAAGCCTGCTTTAAACTTCTCCAAAACCATATTCCTAACCTGTCTGGTGTGTTCTTTGGACTTCATGATGCTGTTTGCTCCCCAATATTCTCTTAACCAACATCTGAGGCCGTCACGGAGCAGCTGTATTTGTACTGAGATTAGATTACACACAGGTGGACCCTTTTGAGTCATTAGCAGTCATCAGGCAACTTCTGAATGCAATTGGTTGCACTCAGGGAAAAGGGGGCTGAATACTTTTGCACGTCGCACTTTTCAGTTTTTTATTTGTAAAAAATGTTTTGATTCATGTAAAATTTTGCTTCCACTTCACAATTGTATACCACTTTGTGTTGGTCTTTCACATTAAATTCCAGTGAAATATATTTATGTTTGTGGTTGTAATGTGACAAAATATGGAAAAGTTCAAGGGGTATGAATACTTTTGCAAACCACTGTATAGATGTGTTCAGACTTAATAAATGACTCTGTTGGCGTTTTTCATAACAAAAGAAATGGGATCAAATTGTGTCTTTGTGACAAGCTGCTGGTCCCTTACTATAATGGGGGGAAATGGTTTAATTGCTCCATTTGCACTGATTTATTTATGTTTTGAATTGAGGTGAACACTTACACTTTCTTCAAATATCAATAATACCAACAGTAAAGTAGGCTCATGCTAATACGTCCCAGTAAGAGCAGTGCTTTGGACAGTTGGTTCACGACAGTTGTTGTCTTTTTTGTTTGTTTCCCAGTTATTTGGCGGTCTTGTATGGATCCTGGTGGCCTCGTCCCGTGTGCCCGTGCCTCTGCTGCAGGGATGGGTGATGTTTGTGTCCGTCACAGCCTTCTTCCTTTCTTCAGCCTACCTCGTTCTCTTCATCACCGGCTTGGTTAACCGCATCAACATGGACTGGAACTTCTTGGTAAGCTGCAGATAAACAGCTCTGTCCATCGGCTTTGAAAATGTTCATCAGTGCAGAGAACTGTAGCGTGTGTGTTGTTGCATTAAGAGATACAGCACAGCAAATTTGAGCTCAATATCTTCAAATCTGAAAGATTTACAACCATTTCTGTATTTGCTAAGGTCAATTACCAGTAGTATCTTGAATAACTTTGACTCTGAGGTCATCAGTTTTAGATGCACGTCTAATTAGAGCTTCAAGGCTTTCATGAAAATCCATGCAGGGGTTGATGAGGTATTCAACCAGCAGCATGGTTCATTTTAAAAGTTAATGCCACAGCTTGTAATTGTCCATTAAGCAGCGGGTGATAAAGACAAACAGTGCTGTGCTCCTGTGGAATGCTGCAGAAGTGGGCTCACATGTGTGTGAAGTCTGGACCATCAGACAGAGCTGACCTCTCCTCGGGGGCCACGCCCAGAACCCAGGCGTAGCCCGGCGTGTGGGGTTGTTTGTTTTCAGCCGAACAATGAGTGACATGGATGATGAGCTCACACTGAAATCAGACAAAGCCCTGCTTGTATTCCCACCAGGCTACAGCAGTCGGCAACACAAACTAACATTAACCCTCTTCATTCTGGGACACACGCCGCCTCTTTTCTCCACTTTATTTCTCTAAATTTCTTTCTGTTGTTTGATTTTCTTCTTTGATATCGGCACCTTTGAATCCTGTAAACCTTGTCACTCTTTAGTCAAGCTGTCATTTTTCGGATGTTTAAAGGTGCAGTTTTGAAGAGAAAATGCATTTTGTGCATAATTTATTTGATGAACAGTTTTTATCTTCCTTTGCTAAACTTTTTATTTTTGTTGTCTCACAACCTGGAATTTAAATTAATTTTTAATTTGAATTAAAGCAACATTTTTTTTTAGCTTTATAATATATCATGTTCTAATGTCATTCCCTCATCAAACACATACCCAGAGTGTTGCTTTGACTCATTCATGCATGTTTGAGAAATCCTTGAATCTCCTGTGGTAGCCTTGTTGTTATGCCTAAAAACATACTGGTACAAAGCTCCGCCCATTTACACAAAGCTCCTCCCCTGGAGCTCAGCCCCCAGCCAAGGTCTCGCCTCACGAGGCACCCCTCCACCCGAGCATTGTTGTGAAGATGTGCTCAAGTGGGAGTGTTAGAAACGGTGAGAGGTACTTAAAGGTGCAGTAGGCAGCAGCTCATTGGTTTAAAGGGGTTGTTGTGTATTTTCCAGGCACATAGTTAAATTCTATTCCACAACCAAGTAACTATGTTACCTTCAGTTGTTATGAAAAAGCTGTATCAAAATAAATTTATTTGACTGTGTTTCTTCCTCAGGATGTGTTTTACCATTTCATAGCTGTGCTGTTCTACTTTGCTGCCTTTGTGCTGGAGGCTGCAACCACAGCGGCGAACGGAGGCACTTCCTTCACTCGACCACAGAACAGCACGAATACCCTGTGTGTCACCCCTCGGGGCAACATATTCACAGTACTGACTTACAGACAGTACAGCATTAATGTGGCAGCCACGGTGAGTCCTGTGAACCTCTTCACATGTTTACATACAGCGCAGGCAGGAAAAACTTTTTAATTCAAGTAGTACACAGCGCCTGACTGTTTCTGTTGAGGTGTGAGGTTATAAAAGTACTTCAAAAGGAGAAAGAATGGAATGAAATAAACAATACTCAGGTTAATTTGTTTTCTTTAAGAGTCTGATTGAAATACATAAACTTCTCACTGATATCAACTGTGTTCAAAGTCCTGAATAGGTTATAAAAAAATCTTATGTTTCAGTATCATTGTCATAGTTGTACCAGCACATTTGGTATGATTCTTAGCCCCATGTTATAAACTGTCTGGGTTTTTTATATGCAGTAAGCCCTAGGGGTGTAAGAAAATATTGATACACTGAAATATCGCAATATTTCATTTCCCGATACTGTATCAATATTCTAAAGCCCTGTATCGATTTTTTTTTATTAAGGTTTAAAATGTCAACTTTCCTGCCAGCTGTTCATTTTTATGTTGTAGTTCAGCCTCTGACCACTAGTTGGCAGCAGTGAGCCAGCCATTTGGCTCCTCTACCTCTTGAGGTCGAGGCTATTGTTAAGTGTTGGTGACCATTTTGTAAATTAACATTAAAAACTAAAAGCTGCAAAAAATACATTTTCAAACAATTTATTGGCAAAATTTAGTCTAATAATTGAAAACATGGATGAAATAAGAAATATGAAACAAAATAAAATACATACAAAGCAGAACACAGCTAAAT